TAGTTACGTAACTTAAATTTAAAGTAAAGAAAGAATAATTAAGTTAGTGTTGTAGTAAGTACTCGATATTATTAGTAGGGGGTGGGGGGGGGGTAAATAGCAATCATATGCTAGTGCCTTTCAAAGTTAAGTTCAAAGCCTGGAAATTAACTAATGGAAGCTAATTTCAGTATTATAAAAGTAACAATACCTTTATTTTTGAGATGAAAAAACTTGAGTTGTTCAATTCTGTTACAAAGTATGTTGTAAGAAAAGCCATAAATTTGATCTTACCAAGAACATAAAAAGAAACTTTATTTCACAAAGGTATGCAGCAGAATCACAAATTAGAAAATTAAACAAACATAGAAAACTTAAACTTCATTGCATGATTGATTATATATTTTTTAAAGTTAATAATTATTAAATATGAAAAAGTCATTGTGAAGAGAGAACTCAAAGCTTATTTAGTGAATAGAAAATGGAAGGTTTTATGAATTAAGTAACAATGTGTGCTACTCATGGAGATTAAGTTTCATATACTGCTTCATAGTTCATTGCTAACAGTGTACAGAAAATCTGTTTTTATAAGAAAGAATAGTTTTTATCTGTTGTTTATACAACACATATTTAACAACTATGCAACAAAATGTATTCATCATAGAGATTATATAGCTTCACCTGTTATGTAAAAATATATATATGATATTAAAAAATGTGGTTTCACCAACTGTGTAAAAACTTCATTAAGAATAGACTTACTTCAATTAGAAATAAAAAAAAACATTCAGGCTACAAAATGCAATGGCATGGTACTTTATTTTTTCATGATTTCACTTATGTTGCAAAATTCTGAGTACAGAAGGTTATTATACCTTGCATTTAATTTGAACCTGAGACCTCTAGCACACCAGGTGAGTGCTCTACCAATGGAGCTAAAGAACTAGCCCCCTTGTGCTTGCTAATAAGGAACTTTTTAACCACTAAAGTGGGATAATTGTTGTTTTAAGATTAATAATATAGATTAGATTAATATGGGGTAATACAGTTTAATTAAATTCAGTGTGATCAATTATTTAAGTAAGTTTATTGAAATGAATTCTCATGACTAGTGTAAGAAAATGCATTAAGGATAGAGAATATTGAGTTTTATTACCAAAATTGATAAATGTATATCCAAAGTTTTATCAGATATGTCAAATATATAATAATAATTAATGATGTATAGTTTCATTAATTATTATGCAAATTATTGAAAACAGATTTTCTAGTTGTATAACATAGTTTATTAGTAGAAGAAAAATTTATCATCAGTTATATAAAGTAGTTAATTTAAAATGAAGAATGTTGTGTTATCAGATATTTAGCATAGTTTAATATTAATGAAGAGTTCAGGGGTTAATAAATATACAACAGTATTTATTAATAATGCAGGAAGGACAAGATTAAACTATTACCTACTACAGTTGATTTATAAGATTAGAGAATACAGCATAACAAAAATTGGATTATTATGTTAAAGAATGGAGGACTTAGTTGTAAAACTAGATTTTTTACTAATGGAGATTTCAAAAAGTATCAGTGACAGTATCAGCAGAGTGAAATTTTTGTAATTATATTATTTAGTATAATTTTTGAAAATGTTTAACTTTAGTCACCAAGTGAACTGAATTCAGTATAAAATATCACATAATTATTTGTACTCGAGAAAGGAAAAAAGAGGTTACTCAGAAATTTGTAAATAGATTAAATCAAGGCAATTTCTTGTTTGACAAACTGATTGGATTCTCCTTTTATTAAGAATGTATTAAAAAGTCTGAAATATCAGAGAATATTGGATGAAAACATCTGATATGAAACCAAAGAATAATTCTTTGAATAAATACGTTTGATATGATATAGTACTATGATGTTAGGCGATTTCTTTTACTCCTATTCCTGTATCTGTAAATAAACAATTACAATAGAAGCTTTCATTGTATAATAAAATATTGAACCTCAAGATCCATAAGTAAACTGTTGTTGTGTTTGGTAAAATTTATGGTTTTAGTTCTGCTTTTAGGCTAAAGATTACTGTATTTTGTTGTAATGATAGTATTATTTGTACAAATTGTGAAATTTATTTTTAGCAACAAGTAGTCCAGCTGGTGCTCTAAGAACTGAATCATCATATTGTGCTAGGGGCACTCTCATTTTGCTGTTAATGTTGTTAAGTTTTTTTGCATACATTGTGTTAGTGTTTTCTATTCTAAACTTTCTGTTGTCCAAGCCTGTATTTAAAAATGCATGATCTAATTGAAGACATATCATGTTACCCTTATTCACAACTGTGTGTGTGTGTGTGTAATACAGTGAGTGAAAACAGGGTAAGAGATTGCACTAGCTCCCCTATCCATGTCTCTGCTAGCTAATTGTGTTTGTCACTATATTTTTTTTCCTGCTTCCCTATCCATTTTCCTTCCCCCTCTCCTTGCAGGTGTGTCGAGAGTTCCAGCGTGGGAATTGTAAACGAGTGGAAACTGAATGCCGCTTCGCCCACCCTCCTGAGCATGTGACGACGGACAGTACAGAAGGCATGGTGACTGTCTGTATGGATTTCATTAAGGGACGGTGTACGCGAGACCCATGCCGCTACTTTCACCCCCCACCTCACTTACAGGCTCAGCTAAAGGCTGCCCAAAGTCGTGCTAACATCGCTGCTATGGTAGGACAATAAATATTTCACAGGCTTTTCCTGCCTGGCTCCAGGTCTGACTTTAAAATTAGCTGCTTTGTAAAAGTGTGTGCATCCTGTTTGCTTGCTCAGAAATAATCACTTTTTTTGCCTCCTAATAAGAGAATAGAATGAGTCCAGTTCAGCTAATTATTCATGTGTTCATTTCTGCTCATATGAAACTATAAATGAACTATAGTTTTTACTTATATAAACATATTTTTCAAAAGTACCCCATTAGGAAAAGTGAATTACTTGTTTGTCACATAAGTAATTAGTTGAAAAACAAGTTAGAGTAAAAATGATTGTATTTAGTAATTATCTGAAAACAGAGGGCTTAAAACATGCATAAAATACAAAAATAAATTTTAATTTTAGCCGGGTTTCTATAATAATATTTTGTAATTACAATTTCGGATATTGCAAAATACAAAATAAGTTTACTGAATTAACACTGATTATGTTTCCCTAATATATGCAAACAAAACTAAATGATTTTGTTTATGTTCAACTTCATTTATTACTTTGCAAAACAAATAAATAATTAATAATAATACCAATTTTGATTTTCATACAACTCATAGCAAGTAACAACTTTTTTTTCCTTTACAATAATAAAGTTAAAATATATAAAAGAGAAGATTATTTCTGCTTTTTGTGTATGGTAATAAAAAGTAAAGCTTTAATAGAATGTAAGTTTTTATTTGTTTGTTATGAAAAAGGTTTAATATTTTAACAGAATAAATGAAATATTTAGTTATTGGTTTATACATTTCTTCAAGGAGAACTGAAAATTTGTTTGTTTATTCAAACTTTACATAAACAGGAAAAACTTTTGACTTATAGCTGGTTTTGTCTGCTGCACTGAGCTGTCCTCTCAGTGATAAAGAAACTAAATTATGATTAGAAATTTATTTAATAATGTGTCATATGAATTTGAAATCTTATGTTTTTCTCTGTTTGTTTATTATTTTTTCAACAACTAGAAAATAAAGGATTTTCTTCTAGGCAGCTTAAATTTAATATGAAACTGATTGGTAGGTTGTTATAATGTTCCATTGAAATCTGATTTTCTGATGTAGTATACAACTAATATAAGAGAGAGAGATTCACTGGATTGATTTAATGTCTTCAATACTTAATTCAACAGTTTGATTCTGTGTTATCTAAACATAATGAATGTACAATGTGTATATAAGAATATACATAAATTTGTTATGAATTTTATCCATGTTAGTATTAGGCATAATTCTGCATTGGAAACAAAATTCACTCACAGTTATATTTGATCAATATTTATACTGAATTTTGTATATATCTTTGTATACCATATGTCAGTTCCACAATACGTCTAGTGCTAAAACACAGAAACTATTAAAATGTATTATAACATGAATAGAATGTTCATAATTATTGAAGCTCTTGATATACCAGCACTATTTCACTGTTTTTCATATTTGTAATTACAGATTTTATATATGCAAATATTTTGATTAAAAAAAATAAAAAAATAAAGCATTGAAAATGCTGACTTTGTAAAAAAAAAAGAGTTTATATGTGTACTACACCTAAAACTATTTTCATTTCTAATCTTTGTGTACATAGATTAAAACTAATGTTGATTCTGGTGTATTCTGTTTTTACAAAACACACAAAAAGCTTTACAGGTGAAGAAAGACAACTTTAACTATTTTACTCATTGTAGATTTAAACTGATGATGCTAATTTCACATAAAGCCTTCTGTTCGCTAGTTTGGTGTAGATGTAATAACTTTTCACAGGTTTCTTGAAGTTGTTTAAACATTTTTATCTGAATTTATCAAAAAATATTAGTTCTAAAATTTCTAAACGTTTGTTACATGGAAGTTGAGTAAACTATGAACTGTTTTCTCAGAATAGTTTTGTAATTCCAAAAATGTTAAGTGACATAAAAATATCAATGAGAGGCAGTATGAAAGACTGATTGTGGTTCCATATAACTGTTTTGGGGTTTGTCTTATAATTTGCATGTGTTGAAATGTTTCATTTTTATGGGTAGTGATATTAACTGTTTTATCCTCTATGGTCCTTGATAATGATGTTAGTTTTTCTATTGACTATAAAGAGGTTCAATATTATGAACACTCATTAAAAGCTATAGATCTTGTAATAATACTTATAATTTGTATGAATTTCACAAATAAAAACATAACTGCATAGTAATCTAACTGATTTAGAATTTAGTGCTATTGGTTGGCAAGAAGGTAGGAGTTGTTTTCTTTAATGTTTTATAATCTGATTTTGACAGTTGTATATTAGGTAAATAGCTCCTTACTGCATGTTGGACTTGGTGAGCTGATTTGTAATTGTTGCTGTTTTGTTTTGGTTTCTTTCATCGCCTTGCTGCTTGCTGTGTCATGTGCTGTCACCTACTACCCACCCCTGGCACCTTCCAATCAACATCATCTGCTCTGCATACTAATTAGCCACATGTGGTCGAGACCTTGATCAGCAAGAAGCGTCCGCGTGACCCTGCTGATGACCTGATTCTGGTATTGGCCCTTAGTGCTTTTGCATGTAGCTCAGACTTCATAGCGGAAGAGGGCGTAGTGCAGTGTCTCACCATTTCGCAGTCAAATTAAAAGTATTTCAAAATAGAAACCTTAGAACTAGTTGAAGTTTGAGTGTAGGCAACATTGCAATGCCTGGCCTCACTAAAAGCATGCAGCCCCAGTGTTAAAATTCCTCAGGATTGTTCTATTTTGTCAGTTAAAAGAAAGAAATATGCATGTATTAAAAAATCTGGATTCGAATATAAGTCAAAAAGAGCCTAAGCTAAAAGAAAAATGTGTTTTGACTGTGGATAAAAGATATAACTGCATGTTTTGTTTATCATGAAATATATACAAGTAGAAAAGAACAGAATAGGTTTTGCTTTTAAGTTTAATTAAAAGGCTTTTGGTTTTACACAATTGGTTTCTCCTTTTAGTTTTTGAGGAAATTTTTTGCCATTTGAAAAACTTGCAAAGTAACTTGTATTACAGCAACAAAAAAAACTTGTAATCCTTACTGTTTTGTTGATCTATGCACACAACAGTATGGTTATGGATAATAAATATTGCCAATCCCATTTAAAAATGCCTCAGTGGTCAGGCTTTGAAATGATTGCTTTCTGCTCAGACTACAATTTGATATGTGTGTTTCTTTTTGAGTATTAAAACTGTACAATATGTACCTTTAGGTTGACTTAGTGTTAAGTCAGCCACAAATTAGCTGGACATAATCCAATTTCTGACCTGGTGCTGCACAACGCCCTTTTTTGTAGATTACTTAACTATTTTGAAACACTTCTTAAATCTTAGGGGTTTGGTTTTAATATTATGCCTGCTAGTTGTTGCTTGGTAATAAAAAATGTATTTAATAAAAAATAGGAAATCACAAACCAAACTTGAAATTTAGTACCCAATTTTATATGAAGTTTTGAAGTGTGAAGGAGTTATTACTTGTTTTTATCTTTCTAAACACTCTTGTTCTTATTTTAAAACATGCACCCATAAAACTGTTATTGATTTTTCAGCTTTCTAACTGCCTTGAGTTTATAAGATATTTTGAATATTAAGAATATAGTGAAAAATGTATTGAATTTATGAATCCCACTGCTTTGTATATAGTTTTCTGTTAAATGAAATAAAGCTGACGATTTTAAACACGTTTATATTTTTTAATTGATAACTGCAGTCTATTATTAGTACTATTGTAATCAAGAAAGTTTATTGACAGAATTTGTGCAGTATTTCTGTTCCTGTTCATATAGCAGTTTATTCTCTGTTAAGAAAATGTTTAGATGGTTTATTAGAAAAGAAAAACCATTGTAAGCAAGAATAAATGTTATCTTAGAGTAAGGGCTTGATAAGTTATCTATTTAAATATGAGCAGCAAAGATAGTTCTTCAACATAAAGCAAATCTATATGTATATACCAATATTCAACTGTTTCATGAAAATTTATTTATGATAATTCAAATTGGTTGATACAGTCTCACCACTTTTCAAAAAGGTCTAGTGTTTAATGTCAGTGGTGAAAAAGTAACTCTTTCAAGATAACATATGTTAGCATTTTAGCCTCATTGTAAGTAAATTGTATCTATAAGTCAGTGAGTTTAGAAAAATAGAAAAACATTTAAGGATCTTTTTTGTTTCATGAACTGCATTCAAATAGAAATAAATATATATTTTTGAATTTAGTTTTTAATGCTGATTTCAGAAATGTAAATTAAAATTTGGATAGTACGTTTAGCATTACATATATACCTATGTATTTAAAAGAATTGCAAGACATCAAGACAATACAAGATATCTGGTGTCAATGTGAAAATTCAGAAATATTCTTAAATATTTGCTTGAAGAGATTATTATTTTCATGTCTACGATGCCAAACGAACTTGCAGAGATATGAGTCAATCATATTACGATTGGTTCCACAGTGTCACTTAACCACATTCGAAGTACTTTCAACTTGCTGCACATTTCAGAAATATAAATTTAAATTTTGAGAATTGATTTTTAAAGGGGAAAGAATGGGAAAATATTTTGATTTTTTAAAGAATTTTTTAAATTAAATTAAGTTTTTGATTTAAATAAACATGTAATTATTTACTAATTAGTCTAACTTGATCTAACCTCACAATAACTGACATAAACTAGCAAAATAAAAAAAGATATTAAAAATATTTATTTTCAGTTTTCCAAATTTTGATTTATATTTGTGAAATCAACATTAAAAACTTCATCAAAAAAAAATGTATATTTCTTTCTGTTTGAATGAATGCATGAAACAGAAAATATCCAACTTCAGTTATCATTTAATGCATAACCAAGTTATGCACATATTGGACTAGCTTATGTATATTGTTACGTATCTGCTTGTTTGTTAATTTCTCGTAGAAATTCTTTCCAAGAAACTTCAGGGATATAAGTCCTTTCTTGATTGAAACTAGTTTATTGTTTCTCGATACAACTTTTTGTAAT